TTACTTACTTACTTACTTACTTACTTACTTACTTACTTACTTACTTACCTACTTACCTACCTACCTACCTTTGTTTCTTTTGTATATTTCTGATTAAACCTCTTTTCCATCTTATAACTGAGAATAACCCTCAGGTGGGGAGGAGGACAGCTGTGATCTCTGTCTCCTCAGTTCATCTCAGACCCCTAGTGGCAACTCTTAACCACTTAAGAGTCCTCTGGAGCAGTCTTAACTTTTCTTGAGAGTAAGAGTGATTCTTAGACTTAAGAATTTTGATGACTGGCACTTATACTTAAGTTTGAGAGTAGGAGCAAATCTAAGAAATTTTCAGAGCTTAAGTCTAAAAATCCACTCTAAGAAGTTTTATAAATACGGGCCCTGATCAATAACATTTCTATCTTTTTTTACTGTATTTATCAGACAAGTGTTATTTTTTTTCTGATCAAATGTTCACATAACACATTGCGAGAATGCGTTGGTTCACACTAACAATGATAAAAAAAAATGCACTTTATAGAGAAAATGTAAAGGATGTTCCAAMCAAACAACACAGTAGGTATTATAGGAGCCCTGATCATTACATACTTATAAATGATCACTGATCATGAATAAATGTACAATTTACTACAGGATGTATCATTATTTCCTGTTCGTTTTTTGCTAATTGTTCCAGTCTCTGTGATTTTTATCTTAATGTTTTAGATCAAATCAATTAGTCAATTATATCAGTATTATATCAGTTAAATGTTTTTGTGGTTTGTTTTCTTATAGCAACATAAATAAATGCAAATCTTTACAACTCACAACTAATTTTAAAAGAAAAATATCTATACAAAACACATAAAGCATGTATTTCAGCAAAATAGAGTATACATGTCAAAATAAAGTTTTGTATGCTTAAATGATTTTAAACTAAGATATAAAGATACAATGTCATTAATAAAATAGTTGGCCATGTTATAAAGTATGCACATAAGAAATTCACAGCAACTTAGTCTTATGAATATTGCATTTTTACTCGTGAATTTAGTCATCATTACTAAACTAGTGCAGTATTTGTGTTGTTGCATATATTTGTTTTACAGTTTTGGCACAATGGTTTGCATTTTTACTTCTTTTTCTGGTTTTCTCAAAGAAAACGTGTGTCTACATCTCTAGAACTGATTTCAACTGTAGTACAAAAAACAAATGGGAATGTGGGAGACACCAACACAGATCTGGTCTTTTCTAACAATCCTTCTGGCTCCACTCCTTTTGCACTARCATTACCAAATTATATTCTTAGTATTTTCTGTAATAGCAAGGATTTTAAAATACTTCTCTAAGAGAAAACGAGACTCGGGACATTTAAAGCTATAGCTCAAGGCTGCAGGAAACAGGAATAACTCAGACATACAGTTTTATGCTTCAACACTTGTGTAAAATGTAGAAAATTGACGGAGTCACTAAATGTTTTGTTTCACGTTCTCTCTCTCTCTCTCTCTCTCTCTCTCTCTCTCTCTCTCTCTCTCTCTCTCTC